CACACAATCTCACACACACTCACAGACACACACAGACACACACACAACACACACAGACAGACACACACAGACACTCACACAATCTCGCACACACTCACAGACACACACAGACACACACACACACACACACTCACTCCCAGGCGTCTGGTTTCTGTTGTTGAGTGATTTGAGGTTCTCGAGTGGATCAGACGGGAGGATCTGTGTCGAGGCTGAGATCTGATTCTATAATCAATATTTGCTAGATTTCCCGTGTCTTCAGTTCACATGCGCTGCAGCGCTCTGCTGATGGGAAACAGTGTCAGCGCTGAGGGAGTCTTACCAAAACACACCAAAATCAGAAGATGAATTAAAGGGAGAGTTCACCCAAAAATAATCATGCTGGGGAATCAGAAACGTTATGATTTTCTTTCTCCTGTGGAGCACAACAGAAGGTATTCAGAGAAAAGTCTCAGTGTTATTGTCCATATAATGAAAGTCAATGGGGTCCAAAGTTGTTTGCTTCCCAGCGTTCTTCAGAAGGATATGGATAGTATTGTTGAAAAACAACTAGTACAATGTTTGATTGTTTTTAGTTAAATCTGCATAGATTCAAGGCACGCAAGAAGTACTGTAATCATAACCTGACGTGTAAACACTCAAAATTGTTTCCTACCGTAAATATATCAAAACTTAATTTTTGATTAGTAATATGCATTGCTAAGAACTTAATTTGAACAACTTTAAAGTTTTCTCAATATGTTGATTTTTTTGCACCCTCAGATTCCAGATTTTCAAATAGTTGTGTATCAGCCAAATATTGTGCTATCCTAACAAGCTCATTTATCCAGCTTTCAGCTGATCTATAAATCTCAATTTCACAAAACTGACCCTTATGACTGGTTTTGTGCTCCAGATAATAAAAACTAAATCTGACTAGTATTGCGGTGAACTGGGTGTGTGAACACGGATGCGGTCTGTGTTTGTGTGTGATATATCAGCTGGAGTGGGTGGAGTGTGGAATGCTGGGATCTGTGTGGGCGGGCCTAGAATCCCAGCGCGAGCCGTGATTGGCTGCGGCGGACAGTGGGTGGAGAACAGCATCAAAGAGTGCAGTGTTGATGTGTGTGTGTTTGACTCTGCATGTTTACATGTGTTTGCGTGTCACACGGGAACACACACACACACACACTCGCGTCCCGAGACTGAGATCTGGCTCACACAGGTGGACTTTCACCCCAGATTACTCTAATCCATCCGCTGCTGCTGGGATTTCTGGGATTGACGGATTACAGTTCAGAAGCCGGCGGGCGTCTCGTGATGAAGGAACTGAAGGAACGTCACTGAGGTCTCACCAAGACTCGAGGACGCTAGTAACTTCACTGCATTTTTTAGTGAAATGAACGGTTCTCAGTTCGTTCTCTGCAGTGCATTTTTTTGTTTTTTTTTTGTAGTCAATTTTAATTGCATCCGGTTTTAGCTTAGTATCATTTATATACTATTGTAGTTTCATTCATATTTCAAATTGCTTTTAATTTAGTTGCATTTTTAGTCATTTATGTGCTTTTTAACTTAGTTTTTATTTATTTTCTTGTCAGTAATTGTAGTGCTTCAACTTATTTCAGTTAGTTGCCAAGGCAACATTTCTAATTTTCATTTAAAGTTCTTCATCTAATATTTATATTTGATTATAATTCCAGCTTTATTTGTATTAACAGAAATGCTTTTTTATTAGTTTTAGCTTTAGTCTTAGTTAATAATAATAACCCTGAGTGCATTGCTGTTTTCAGCTCATGAATTAAATGTACAAAGTGTGAAATTCAAATATTAATATTGAAATTAATTTTTTTATTAAGTTTTTATTTATTTGCAGTGCAATTTAGTTAGCTGACAAGTTGACAAGCAATATTTAAAGTTTTTCATTTAATATTTATATTTAATCTAATTTCATAAATAGTTTTAACTTTGGTTTTAGTTAACGATAATGAGTGCATTGCTGTTTTCAAGTTTAGTTTTATTACTTGTATGAAGTTTAAAATTTAATACAGTCACTCTGATTTTTATATAAATATTTGAATTGAATTTATTTTGATTCATTTTAAGGTCTAGTTAGTCATTTTAGTGCTGTAACTTAAATTTATTTCAATTATTTGCCAAGGCAACATTTCTATGATATGACGGACAGCGGCGTCTAAAAATGACTGTTCGTTCTGCGCCACAGTAAATCTCGCTCTTGTTCTGCTGATGCGAGTGTTTCGGTTTGGTGAATGAGTCAGATCCTGCCCGGATGTTTCTGAACGGGGTCGGAGGAAACAATTACACAATGACTCTTCCTGACGGCGCGTGAAGTCAACTACGATTGCGCCTCCTCTCCATGTGTTTGCGTGTGATCTGCACCATGTTTGTCAACGTACGCAAGATGGTGTCCATTTTCGAAAGCAAAAAACAGCCTCGTCCTCTGTCACTCCCTCCGTGTGAACAAACACAAAGAGAGAACGAGAAAACAAGACTGACCTCGGAGCCCCGCCCCTCCTCGCTGAGCCCCGCCCCCTCAACTGTGGTTCATAGGCCACGCCCCCACGCAGGAGAACGAGTGAGAGACGCCGGAGGGGTTCGAAGGGTTCGCGATTCTTGGCCGACGGGGAAGATCGATTACTATCCGAGGGCCAATCGCTTGGCGGTTTCCATAGAAACCAAAGAGCCAATCAGCAGCAAGCACTCGCCACGTGTACCATCCAAAAACACAATTTCTGGCCTCAGAACGTCGTCCATCCCAAAACAAGAGCAAATGTGTTCATCCAAACCCAGCTTCTCATGCACAGAAACACATATAGCTCCACCTGCTGGTCAGATCCCAGAAAATAATCCCGGATCGTCCTGCAGGTCCGGCTCGTCTTGCGTTAGCGATCGGAAATGTCAGAATCCCGTTTGGAGTTCATTGTCTTCCTCTGTGAGAGCAGAAAGGGGCGGGGCTAATACTCACACACGGAAGCCACTCCCCTCTGACTCCACCCTCCTTTCCCTTCTGCTGTTCTTCCACAGGTAACTGGGTTAGTTCGGTCTGTGCGTAATGCTGTGACTTGTGGTTTTCTTTGGGTGGTTTATGATGTATTTGTGGTTGTGGAGACTGAGAGCGTCGTGTGCTGCTGTTATGAGAACCATGTGCTGGCCAGAGCGTTCAGAACAATAGCATCAGTGTTACACACATACAGTCAGGACTGTGTGCGCTCTACTGCTGTTTAAGTCAAATAGCCTGGTTTCTACAGCACTGCAGGGTAGAGAAAGCACTGCAGTGTTTGTGCTTCAGACGTGAATGAGAATGTTGTTGAGACTGAGCTGCTACTGTACTTAAGTGATCCGACACACCATTTCACTTGCTAGACCTGAAAACAATTGAAAAAACTCACAGATGCACGTTGTAGGAGGGACCCGAGCCATTTCTAGAAACCTTCAAGAAACTCTAGAAATGCCTCAAAAACTGCCTAGTAACAGCTGAGAGACTGCTTAGAAACACCCTATAAACCACTTCTAAACAGCCTAGCAACCACCTAGAAACAACATAGTAACCGCTTGCAAACATCCTAAAAACAGGATAAAACTGTTGAGAAACCATCTAGAAAAAGCCTAGAAACGGCCCAAAAACTGCCTAGTAACAGCTTAGAAACACCCTATAATCCACCTTTTAAACAGCCTAGCAACCACCTAGAAATAACATAGTAACTGTTTGCAAACAACCTAGTATCTGCCTAGAAACAGAATAGCAACTGTCTAGAAATAGTCTAGAAACTACCTAGGAACAGCATAGCATCGATTTTGAAACATCCCAGCAACCATCTAGAAACTACCTAGTAACAGTCTAGAAACCATCTAGAAACAGCATAAAACTGTTAAGAAACCACCTATAAAAATCCTAGTTACCGCCTAGCAACCACCTAGAAAAAGCCTAGAAACAGCCCAAAAACTAACTAGTAACAGCTTAGAAGCTACCCAGAAACAGCATAGTAACTGCCTAGACATAGCCAAGAAACTGCTTGGAAACCATCTAGAAACAGCATAGCAACTGTCTAGAAATAATCTAGAAACAGCATAGTAACTGCCTAGACATAGCCAAGAAACTGCTTGGAAACCACCTAGAAACAGCATAGCAACTGCCTAGACATAGCCAAGAAACTGCTTGGAAACAATCTAGAAACAGCATAGCAACTGTCTAGAAATAATCTAGAAACAGCATAGTAACTGCCTAGACATAGCCAAAGAAACAGCATAGCAACTGTCTAGAAATAATCTAGAAACAGCATAGTAACTGCCTAGACATAGCCAAGAAACCATCTAGAAACAGCATAGCAACTG